GGAGTGAGTTCTCCATGGTCAAGGACCTGTTACCGGTCCACGTGAGGATGCCCCCTCCAGGCCTGGGGAGCCAGTCTCCCTGCAAGCCCCGCCCTTATCCATCTGTGGACCCATCACAGTTTCTCAGTTGTAAAAATGCTGTGTTTTCTGGGGGCAGTAAAGAGGACTGTGGTCACACAAATGTATCTGACCTTGCACCTGAGATGTTGGGGTTCACCAACAGATGTTGATTCCATGACCAATGTGCACAGGGAAAGGCCTTACTGAATTCTGACTGAGTGCTGGGTGCTGGAGCAGGACTGCCTCCACGGAACCTCTTAGCTGTGTACCCTTGAGCTCCCTCACCTGTGAAGTGGGGGAAGAAAAATAGCTGGCTCACAGAAGGGATGCACAGACTAAATGGCATAGAGTAAGTGCCCAGTAAAAACGACCTCTGAAGGCCATCGGGTCTGCAAGCCACTGCACAGTGGATACACAGGAGAGAAACTTTGAGGATGGGCGTGGTAAGCAAGCCTTCCACCAGGTCACAAAGCTCATCCCCTCAGGGGGCAAGCTCCACCAGGGACAGGGCTTTGTTCCTGGCAGAGGCCCATGTACCTGACCCTGGGTGATGCTGGATAAACCTCTACTTAACAGCTGCATGGATGCACAGGCAGTAGGAACAGCCCCGGTGCAGGGAATGAAAGGTTAGAGTTCAAGTTCTTCATGGTCCACTGACGAGTAAAGAGACCTTGGAACACGGCTGCAACACACCCTGGTGAAACACGGTCAATAAGGGTGAAAGCAGTGGTTCTCAGCTGGGGGTGGGTTCTGTTGTATGCATTTGGCAGTGTCTGGAGACATTTTTGGCCATCACAATTCAGAGATGCTACTGTTTTTAGAGAGTAGAGGCCAGGGATACTGATAAGCATCCTAGAATGCACAGTCATCAAATGACAGTAATGACAAGGTGGAGAATCCTGGATTAGGGGAGCAGTCTAAAATCATAAAATTATATGCAAATGCTGGCTGTTACTACTGTCCATAGTATTATTAAGTGGCCCAAAAGCAGTAGTAGATACCCTGTGCCTGTCAGAACACTTGTGCCTCTGCTCTCCAGCCGTATAAAGGTATCCAGGTGGGAGGGTTTGGCCTTGTCCTTCCAGGAAGGAGCATCTCATCAACTTCTCCATGGCAACTGCCCTCCCCATCACAGTTTCTCAGTTGTAAAAATGCTGACTGGAAGTTGGTGATGCATGATTTACACCTTTTTTTCTTGATAAGCCATGAAACAAAGTGGGACCCCTAAGTGGAACCCCTTTCTCCTCCTCTTCTTTTCCCAATCATGTGTTTGAGGCAGGCTCTGTGCTGGCAAAACTAAGCCAAGCACCTTCTTCTGCAGTGTGGTGAGTGGAAGGACTGACCAGAGTGCCACAGCACTGAGTCAGGCTGTGGACCACGCCCAGCACCTCCCACAGCTCTGTCTCCTGTCATAATCTGAAGACCTGACCGTGGACCTCAACAGAGCCTCCTGCTTCACGTGTGGCAGGTGCAGGCCTCTTCTGCGCAGAGTGCCAGGGTCGCAGAAGCTCATGTCAGAGTCGAAACACCTGGGCTAACCTTTAGAATTGTTGCACCTGAAAAACTTGCCAAAGTGCTAAGGCCAGTACCAGTGACTGTGACCTTATCTGGAAATAGGGTCATTGCAGATGTAATAAGCTAAGATGAGGTCACATTGAGAAGGGTAGGCCCTTAATCTGACACGATCAGTGTCCCAAGAAGAGAAGAGGCACAGGCACAGTGAGACCACGTGATGTTGAGGGCAGAGACTGGAGTGGTGTGTCTACAAGCCAGGGTGTGCTGGCAGGGACCAGAGGCTGAAGAGAGACCCTGAGAGGATCCTCCCACATAGCCTCACAGGAACCAACTCTGTCCAAGACTTCTGGCCTCTTGAACTCTGTGAGAATAAAGTTCTGTTGTTTTAAGCCACTCAATTGGTGGTTCTGTGTGATGCAAAAACTCCTGCCTTCCCCAGCGAAGTAACTCAGCACTCTGATCCATACCTGTTGAACCACAAGCTGAGAGAGTAGGCCTGGGATCTGTGTTGTAATGTGTCCTGGAAGACAGTCCCACACCTGATAGTTTGAGAACTTCTGTGGAAGCCCAGTGCGCCCAAACTGTGCCTCCTCTCTTTGGTTGTCAGTTGAGTGCCAGGATGCCCTGTCTAAAACTGCCGGCCTCCCAGTTTTCTCCATAGCCTGGAGCATTCATCTGCAAATCTCAGCCCTCACTGGCTGAAGGATGCTCCCGGGCCTCTGACCCCCTGCACAGCTCAGTGTCTCTTGCACAGGCCACGTACACTTCCCCAACTAGAGGAAGCTGTTAGCAGAAACTGGCCCCTTCCCCTCCCGCTGTGATGGAGGAGTTGTCATGAAAAGGAAGCAGTAAGTGAGGTAGAGGGGATTTGGGCCACCATAGGAGTTTTCATTCAGTCATTTGACAGATATATCCTAATCTTAGACTGGGCTCTGGGGACACAGAAATGAGTCTATCAGGATCTGTGTCCTCAGAATGCCCCCAGCCTGAAGAAGGAGCAATGACCAAAGGTATTCAGGCACGCGTGGCCCATGGAGGGAAATGAGAAAATGCCCTGGGTCTATCTCTCAGAACATGAGTTTCTAGAGAGAGAGAGAGCAAAATTGAAGTCAGGACTACCTAGTTTTCTGGAAATGTAGCTTATTATTGGCCAATGGTCCAGCCAGTGAAAGGCCACCAGGTTAGGTGATGTGTCTGTTTCCAGGGTCTTTGAAGACTGTGGCAGCCTGAATGCACTTGTTGGGTTTGTTCCCCTACTTTTGGCTAGGACATGTGCAGGAATAACTTTTCTAAGTGAACCTTTCAATAGCATTTGACAAAGTTTGGCAAAATAAGAAGGCCCTGGTGAAAAAGGGATTTATTTGAAGAGCCAGATTTTCTGTCCTTGTCATCTCTTAAAGAAACAAAAACAGATTTAAAATCACATTAAACTGCCTCTGGAACCCTTGACAATATTACATCTTAAAAAATCTGTGGCCTCCAGGGCCATTGAGGGAGCAGTCAGGTTGAGCAGAAAGGCAGCCATGCTGGAGAACAGCCATGGTTCAGACTCCCACAACAGCGCCCCCTGTGGCCATGCTCTTCCTGACTCACGAGTTCTGGAAAACGACTTTGAAGCTCTTCCTTTATTTTGCCAGCTCCTGCAAACTGTGCCAGCCTCGCTTCAAATCCATGATCACGAGTCTCAAAGGAGTCCTCGTGCGGCTGGGCGATTCTATTACATTACATTGCCATGGGCGAAGGAAGATGCTGTATAGTTGGGTTTCTGCTAAAAGCAGTCAGACACAACCTCTAAATGACACCAGGAGAGGTGGCTCATCCTCTTTTGCTTTTAAAAGGAGACAATTTGGATCTGAAGAATCCAAACTGAAGCATCTTCCGGCACTCAGCCGAACGTGACCTTCCATCCCAAGTTCTGCTTGGCTCAGCCTTTCTCAGGTTCCTGCTTGCCAGCCAGGCGTCTTAATGGTGCTGGGCCTGCTGAGCAGAGAACTGACCCATGGTCACTGATGGTCTCTGAGCAGAAGCTTCATGGGGCCGTGAGAACTCAGAGCAGACTGACTCAAGGAGGAATTGTGACAAGCTGTTAGCCACTCAAGATGGCAGTTCCACCCAAGTCTGATGGACTGTGATCACAGAGGCCCTTCATTTCTGTGGCCAGAGCAGGAGGACTCCAGCAGGAGATGCCTGGGACAAGTGTCTGGGCACCATGGGCCCTCAGAACTGCAGCTCCCTCAGGACAAATGACAGACTGCTGTCTTCTCTGCCTCCCCAGCTCCCCACTGGGAAGGAGTTCCTGCCCTGCCTGTTCCTCACCTCCTATCACTGCCCCCTCCCTTCCTGATCTGGAAATTCCTGATTCTGGCCCATTGCAGGGCTGTGAGCCTGTAGCATCTCTGTGCACTGTCCCCACTCCTCCAATAAGCCACATCTCCCACATGTCCACGAAGCACAAAGATCACTCAGAACTCAGTTGGGCTCGGCACCTCCAGAAGCTTCCCTGACCACTAGGCTGGGCCAGGCACCTTCTGTGAGACCTACTCCCAGGCTGCCTTCCCCTGTCATGTGTTCCTTGTGCTGCTGTCCTCTGCTGGGAGCCCCAAATGGGTGAATGCTGGTGACCACATCAGGTCAGCCTGGGAACTGACCTCTCCCCAACTCTCCTGGGAGGCAGGGAGCTGCTCTGAATAGCAAGTGGCAGCCAAAGGCCTGCTTCAAGGTGCATCAAACAAGTTGACCTCACCCATGCCCAGCTGTGAGAAATTAGCCACAGAGGTTTGAACCCTTGGATAGTAACATCTATCTGGAGCCAAGCCCTCCACTTCCTTTGCTGGCCAGGGACTGTGAGGGTGAGGCCAGGGCAGACCCAGCAGAGCCACTCCCAGACCCTGAGTGACTCTGTCTCTTACCGGTCCAGGCAGCAGAGGCAGCTCCACGCCTCACCCTGCTAACCAAGGCAACGATAGAAATGGCATGAATTATTTTCACCTGTTGTGCATCCTGCGCTGCTGGGCACCACGTCTGCAGCCTTGATTAACCCAGCAACCCCTACACTGTAAGAAGCAATTTCCACCTTTTGTGAGGCTCAGTGGGGCTAAAGACCTTTTCTGGGGGTTCTGTGGCAGGGCGTGGCCCCAGGAGGCTTCAACGTGGACCACTGGAGCCTGCCTCTCTGCTCCATAGTCATCCCCATTTTCACTGGAGCATCCCAAGGCCAGAGAGAAGAGTCAGCACCCTGCCCTGACCTTGCAACAGGGGCAGGATTAGAACTCAGCTCCACCTAATCCCAACCCCAGGAGCTTCACTCCTTCCAGGGCCTTGTGTCTCACTCCACCCCCACCTTCCCCTCCGGCCTCAGGGTTGCCTTCCTCCTGGGGCCTCGGATGTGCTAGACAGTTCTGCCCAGGTGTGCTGTGTGGACTTACTTCTCTCTGTTAAATATGATGAACTCCTTCCGCACGGTCTCCAAACACTGCTGCAGATGTCCATTCTGTCAAAGAGCACAGAGGGGTGTAAATGACAGAGCACTGCCATGGAGATGGGCTGAGGAGCAGCGAGAGCAGCTGAGAGATCTAAAGTCAGGACTGGGGACAAGCTCAATGTCTGAGCAGGCCCTACTCCCATGGGCATCTGTTGTCCAAGGAAAGCCAGGCAGACAAACCTGTTTTAAGTAATTAAATCCAGCATAAGAGCAATGCTGGGGGAAGTGGACTGAGCAGCCTGAGCTTGGCCACCTGCACATTTGGATGCTTGTCGCCTGCTTAAGAGGCTAAAAGGAGAAGAAATTCAAAACCCTCAGGGCTGGCCCCTCCTTCCAGGAACAAGTGTGGGGACTGCCAGGGCCATAGACATTCTCTGACATGCCTCTGGGAGGCCCTGAAGGCCGTGTGTAGATGGCACACAGTACAGCAAGCACCTCTGTGCATCTCCCAACCACAGGCAGGGGACTCCAGGCCAGGTCTGCAGCCGGCATGAGTGGCTCAAGGCATGGACCCCATGAAGCTTTTTAGGAGATAAGAAGGTGTTTTAATTCCTTTTAAAATAAAAGGAATAAAATGACCTTTTAGTATCAAAGTTTATATCCTTCTTCATACCAATATAGCTGTAAAATAAATACCTCTTCTTACAGGGAAAGGGGCTGGTGTGGGTTGATTTACCTCTCCCAAAATATGTTCAAATGCTAAGTCCTGGCGTCTGTCACTGAGACCGTGTCTGAAGTAGGGTCTTTGCAGGTGTGATGTAGTTAAGGTGAGGCCATAGTAGATTAGGGGGCCCTAACATCGATGTCTGGTCTGCTGGTATGAAGGCCACAAAGACACAGAGACACAGAGGGAGGCCACAAGAGGGTGGAGGGAGAGATGAGAGCAGTGCCACTGCAGCCCAAAGCCACAAAGGACTTCCCGAAGTCACAAGAAGCCACAGGAAGAAGAGGGCCCATGGTCCCCCATTGCCTTTGGTGGCCATGTGGCTGTGCTGATACCTTTATACTGGACTTTTGGGCTCATGATTATGAGGTCTTAAAATTTGTTTGTAGAATCCACTCAACCAGTGGTGCTTTGCTATTAGCCTAGGACATCGACACAGAGGTCCCTGAAAGCAAAATTGCCCAGGGCCCATGGAAGTCACAGGGCAGTCTGGAGCCTCTACAGTGTAAAGCCTTCCTGAAGGATGGGTCAGGACAAGTGACCCAGCACCAATGTTGCTCATCTCTGTCCCTTACTGTTGCTTAGTCCTGCAGAGCCTCCTGCACTGCAGCTGTCCTTGCACAGCTGTGTACTGTGAGAGACCACCCGTATGACGGTGGCATTTCACTGCAAAAGAAGGGACCATTCGCTCTCTATGTCCACTGGCTCTGGTCCATGGATTCAACCAACTGTGGATCAAAACTATTCAGAAAAAAATTCCAGAGAGTTCCATAAAGCAAAACTTGGATTTGCCATACACTGAAAGCTACACTGAGTCCCTGTGGGTGAAGGGACAAGCAGGACATCCCCTGCGGCGGCACAGGCCTTGTCCCCACAGAGCTGCGTTGAGAACTGTTTGCCTCATGTACCTGTGGTTAGGCCTGTGACGGTCACATCTATACTGAACATATAGACATTTTTTTTGCTATTATTCCCGAAACAATGACTGTGTAAATAGTATTTGTACCGTGTTACGTGTTATAAGTAACCTTGAGATGGTCTGAAGCATTGGTTATGTGCAATATTAAGGCATTTTATATAAGGGTAGAGGATCTGGGGAGCTGAGTGTCTGAGGGTTCCACACTGCTCTCAACATGCACTCACCAGGGGACAGCTGTCCTTCCTGCTGTCTTTGGATCTATGCTTGGCCAGCCTCTTCTTCTTTTTGTGAAGGGGCTTGGATTCTAGAATCATTTCTTCAAGCTCGAACGTGGGGTCACAGTTCAATCTCCCTTTCTGAAGGCATGGGGGAAAGAAAACATGGTTTGGTGACAGTCCACCATCAGTGAATTTTTTTTTCATGTCTTCAATCGTTCTTTCATTCAATAAATAATGATTTTCTACCATGGTGGGAATCACGGGTGACATTTTTTCTTTGATGATGAAAGAAACACATTCTCACTGCATGTGTCATTCAATGACAGTCACAGCCCCCTCCCTCACTACTCTGGCAGCCCTACTAGGTGAATATCCCTTGTAGCCATGCTTTTACATGCAATCTGATTTTCCATAATTATTTGATCATATACACATTCTTATGCCATTATTTTTCTATGAATATCATTTTAATAATTTAAATTTAAAATACTGTTTCTAGTCAACCAACATCTGCCCAGCTTCCTGCCCTGCTTGGCTCGTCAAGCTGGTGCCGGTGAACATCAGGACTGGCTCTGTTGCGTGTGGACCTGGGGCTCCACCCATCATGACTGCCAGATCCCTGGAAGCTGTTCTTGGCTCTGAGACCTTCCCCTGATGGCTTGCCCAGAATGTCAGTCTCCCCAGCAACGCAGTTCCGTGACTATGACATCAGCAGCCCTGGAATCACACAGGCAACAAACTCTGACCCAGGGTCCTAACGTCTGGGAGCTCAGGTCATCACCTGCAGCTTGGAGGGCAAGGCTCCCTTCTGGAGAAAGACCACATAATCTCTAGTGAGTACGGCAGGTGGGCCAGGTGTTCCTCGACCTGTGAGGAAGGGGACTGTTACGACCTGGCCATAAGGATATGGGCTGGGCACAGCCTCATGGTCAGAGAAGTTAGGTTCAGAAACGTGCCCTGTATCGTGAGCAGTTTGTGAAAAGAGAACTGGAAGCCTTGGTCTCTTGGTGATGGAAAGGACAATGTTATTTTTGTACCTAAAGGAGTGACAAGTCTTTAAAATAATCCACCAAGAAATAGCCCATGGGGCAGTTGGGCTCTCCAGTGAAACTTGGGCCCAGCAGGTCCCTTCCTCATCCTGTGCCCGAGTTTCATGCACTCTGACAATAGGGGAGTGAAAGAAGTGACAACTGAGGTCAGCTTTGGCAGGCCTGTGATGTAGTCCCTCTGCTGCTCACATCCCCATCACCGGACCCTAGTCCACTGATCACAGGTCACAGATACGCCAGGGGAGACCTGGAGGTCACTCTGTGACCCTGAAACCTCCCTCATGAGGGATCCTGTAGCCTCCTGCAGCCAGCATCCTCAAAAGTGTAAATCCAGTACTTTCCTTCCCTGTCCTAAACATTCCAGTGTTTCGGAGACAGACCCTAAAGTCCTTTTGTGGCCTGCAGAACCACTCTGGCATGGCAGGCATCACCACCCAACCTCATGTCTTAGTATTTTCCTCCTGGCTCATTTTGATCCAGTCAAAAACCTTTTGCATTACTTTGAAATTGACGCTTTCTGCTGCTTGGAGTGTGACACTGTGGTGTCCCCTATGCCTGGAAGGCTCAGAGCCCATCTCTGAAAGCCTGGTTCCTTCACTTCCTTCATGTTCTTGCCAACTCTCCCTAAAGAGGGCCTGGCTTTTGCCTACCACAGGCCTCTCCCTCCTCCCGACTGGTTCTCCATGTACCCCTGGCAGAGCACGACTGGCTGCTCTGTTTAGCTCGCTTCCTGGCTGGGCAGCTCCTTGCCTGTCTTTCTCTACTTGGTAGTCTGTCCCCAGGCAGCAGAGCCTTCCTCCCTCTTCCCCGTACCTTTCCCTGTGCACCTGGCCTGATTCAATGGCAGGAAGGAGCCACACGTCTCATGGACCCACTGCATGAATCGGACCTTGGAAATCAAGTCCAAATCTGCTCCGAATCTCAGCAAAATGTGAACCCATTGATGCTTCTGTGTCCATGACTAGTCTTGGGGTTCCTGCTGATCTCCAAGATGGGGGCATGCTGAGGGATGGGGTGACTCACATTGGGCACAAAGCCGGGCATCAGTGCCTTCTCGAACACCGCGTCCCAGTTCATGTCAGCCAAGTAGGGTGCACTCTGAAGGTCGCTGAGGCTGGACAGGCGGCTCTCAGGGTCCTTAGTCAGGAGCTGTGGTCAGAGGGCAAAGGTGCGACCTTAAATCATGCGTCTCGCTGAGGTTAGCAAGGACAATTAAAGTTCCTTGCATGTCGTGCTCACCAGTGGCCTGCCCTGTCTGGGTCCACACGGCAGCGCTGTCTGCACTCATCTCTATAGCCAGGAAGGGACTTCCAGAGAAGTCCTGGCAGGGACTGTTGGACAGGGCCTGGAATGGCTGCCTTGTCTCAGGACACAGAATGCCACTTTTCATTGTCTTTCCCAAACCCTCCAGCTTATCAGGTGCAAAGAACACAGGGGATAAGAATTAGGGAGCAGGGGCTGTACCCCAGGGACTGACACCAAGGCCAATGACCTCATGAGCTTCTGAATTCTCTGGGTTCATGTCTTCCTCTGCCAACAGGAAGAGTGAGGGCAGCTCTCCCACTTCCAGCTCATGGTCAAGGTGAGGCCCAGTGGGATTGGTAAGGACCTGGCACATGTAGAGAGGAGTGGATTGTCCAGCTGCCAAGATGTGGGAGCCCCTCCCCCCAGCTCACCTGCAGGTATCACCTGTCATTGTGGAAATCTCCCAGCTATGTCCACAGAGTGGGCCAGGGTTACACCACACAAGGAATACCTGTTTGCCAATCATGGTGGTCTTGGTATCCCAGGGGTAGGTGCAAATTTAAAGAGGCTCTCTTTGGTGCCATCAGAGAGCACATTGTCTAGGACAGCTGTCCTGGGAGCTGAGGCCTGTGCCCCATGGAGGGGATTCTGAGTCGGGCAGGAATTGGCAGGGTGGAAGGCCTCCAGATCAGTCAGAACCCTGGCTCACTAGAACAAGGTGGTGGATCCCTTTTAAAATAATTTAGCAAATAATTGGCTGTGCTAGGATTGAAAGTGGGGACCTGGAGTCAGCAGGGCTTGGGTTCCAATCCTGCCTCTGCTTTGTATTAACCTGAGGGCACTGATTGGATGACTTTGCTTTCCTAAGCATTGACATTCTCGTCTTTACTACAATACCACCCTACTCTCAGGGCTTGTGGGATGAAAAGAGCTCACCATGTGGCCTAGGACACATGGCCCAGGACAGGTGGCCCTCAACCAAGGCTGTGATACCAGCACCATTCTTGTAACAATGATTGTGCCAACCATATGCAAGACTTGATGGGCTCCCAAGCCGGGAGATTTGAAGGGAACCTCACAGGAGGGCACCGGATCTCCTGCCTGTGCCAAGTTGGGGCCAGCACCAGAGGCACGGGGAGCGGGTCAACACAGAAAACTGGGCCCACCTGATGTTTGTCACGGGTTGGAGCCCGTGACAAGTGTGCAGGTGATGGTGATGCTGATGCTGCTAGGCTAGAGCCATGTTTTGGGAACCAGCATTTATTCTACTAGCAACAGGGTCTACCAAAAGTCAGTATGGGCCCCATTTCTTACAGCTTGTGAGTTGGGAGCCACGCACACTAAGTATTTCTATTTGTGAGGAACCTGTGGTGGAGGGAAAACAGCCTGCGGCTTCAGAGTTCTCCCTCCTTCCTTTGTGGCCCGCGTGCACACTAGCTACCTGGCAGGTTGGTGCAGCCCTGCCTTACCTTCTTTAGCAAGGCCACCATCCCCTTGCACCAGGTGGAGGAGTAGTGTACACGCTCCGCCTTGAACATGCTGAGGATCTCGTCGACGGGCATGGACGAGTGGATTTCATACGGCCGCTGCAACCATGAGCAACAGATGAAATCAGAGAGAGCCTGGGAGAAGCCACCACACATGTGACTTGAGATCATGTAGTGTTCAATCTCCCCTGCAGGCCATGATGGGTGTTCCTCTTTCATGGCAGGGCAGGTGGTCTGGGCTCAAATACCAACAGTAACTAAGCCTGAGGGGCAGTGCTGGAGCCTGTTTTAGCCTGTTACAGTCAAAGGAGGTTAGGCGATCTCCAAGGTCCTCTAGCCTGTGAGTGGCAGAGGCAGGCCCAGAACCCTGGCCAACTCTGACCACCTACTGGTCAGAATGCTGGGTAGAAATCTGTGGGGTGTAGGCTCCTGTGAGGGTGGGGACATGCCTTAGGACCACCACCTGACCATGGGGTTGGGAGTTGGGTTTGTGGACTGTTGAGGATTGTCTTCCTGTCTTTTTTCCTGTCAATAAACTATTCTGCCCACACTGTGCCACTCCACCTTGGGAACCAGCTGTGGGAGGTGCAGGGAGGTTTGGAGCCTCACCTCTGTCCTTGTTTTAAAAGTCAGGACTGACACTGAGGTTCAGAGATGAAAGGAGACTCCCTCAGTGTCCCACAGAGACCCTACTCACTTTCCCCATTCTCTCTTCAATGTCACTAGAGTGCCAAATCCAAGTGCACAGGTGGCAAACCAGCCAGAAGCGAATGTAAGACATTTTATGCTCTACTTCCTTCTTGGTCCCTCACTAATTCTGCTTTTCATCAGACCTCCAAATGAGCTACTCTCTGACCTCTCATTCTCTCCAATTCTAGAGGAACCAGACCAATAACAACAGCAATTATCACAAAAAATCGAAGCCATCTCTAGGCCAGTGTAGGAAGCGCATTTAGAACTAAGCTTAGGACAATATGATTAAGATAACCCCAACCTTGAGGTCCAGCCCCTGTCTGTTTGGGTGGGTGCTCCTATTACAAGAACAACAAATATTTCAATCAATATTCCATCTGCTGCCGGTGAAGAATTCTCCCGATGCTGAGTTCTCACTTGTTGGCTTTAGGACGTGTTGACTCAGAAGCCAGGTAGTAATGGAATGTACTGTTGGTAAAAGCAGTGTTTATCAGCACGACATTGGATATACTCATTCTGAAGTGCAGGTGTGTCTCTACTCCAGAAAGCTCAGTTTACAAAAACACCCTGCTAGTTTACTGAGAAATAGAAGGAATGAAGAGGAAAGGATTGCCATAGATCTGTTATTTTAAATGTGAGAGCTGAGCTGGGGCCTTGAAGACCATCTAATCCAATGTTTTCCCCCACAAAATCTCTACTCAAAATCCCAATACAGATCAGAAGAAATCAAGGATCAGTGTCTCTGGCAACTGACGTTTTCCTCTCTGGAACTGTCCATCGTCTCTGCAGGGTTCTGGAGTCTGGGAAACAACATAAAATCAACAAGGGCCTTCCCCCTTTCCCAATCCTGATTCCTGGCACAGCGCTCTGTCTGCTTTACTAAGGGACAGGAAGCCCACATCCGATCCAAGGACCCTTTCCTCCCCTGCTCTGTTAGGCTGAGCCCACCCATTGGAGTGAACTCAGCTGTTCTCAGTTCTGTACCCAGCCTCTAGGGGAAGCTCCAGCTGCCCTTCCTCTCTTCTCTGACCTCTTCACATCCCCAACAGTTTCATTTACCCATCAAGAAGTGCTAGCTGATGCCAAAGGCCAGGGTAACACAGGTGAGGCAGGTGGCTGCCAGGCAAGCAAAGAGGGTGAACATGGAGACATGGTAGTAGATTTTGGGGCCTCGCCTGCTCTCTTACTGAGCATGCCCCCTGTGCAGCAGCCCCAGTGAGTCCTCTTGATCATGCTATAGCAGTGATTCTCAAACTGGGGACAGTCTGCCCCCAGAAGATCTTTTGTCAAGGAGCAAGGATGCCTTCTAAACTTGCATAGTCCTCTGGTAGACATGAGTGCTGCTCAGCATAACTTCTGACTAAATCAACTGTTTCCGGTATGAAAAACATAAGAGCAAACAATTTGCATAAACCTCTTGTCCTTTTTATGAACAATTAAGCCAAGAAAAGCTATTTGGGAGAAAGGTTCCCAGTGGTTCATAACAGGTGTTCTTTCATTCAATCACTTCCTCCCCAGGCCAAAGGCTCCTACCTGACCATTTGCCTCTCCCTCTTCCATAGAAAATGGCCTCTGACTGGCTGAATAGAAGACTGAAGAATTACAAATGAATGCATGAATTCTGAAGTAGCAAGACCCACTCCACTTTTGGGTCTTTTTGCCAAGCCAGCATCTCTGACTTTGTGACCTGTTGAGGAAGGACCAACAAAATCCTTTCTGCTGCTGGGTACCCAGTCATGTTTAGGCTCCATGGTGGGATGCATCACATAAGAATAATGGCCTTTGGTAGACACCTGTGAGCTCAGATTTATTCAGGATCATAGCCCCTCAGATTGCTCCTCTGAGGACTTAGAGCAACTGAATCAAGAACCAACCAGAAAAACTAAACCCGTGACAATGAATCCTTTCACTCAGTGACTGAGAAAATGAGCAAGTTCATATTTTCTTTGCATTCTAAAAACACCATGTTCTTGAGAAATTCTGAGGAAATGAGATAAAGAGCAGTAGAGGGTTGCCTGAACTAGAGGACAAAAAATATTTGTACCCTCAGTGCTTCCAGTTTACAGATAGCTCTTATCACTCACCCACTCAGCAAACTTTCAGCTAATACCCCTTATCACTGTGTTATATTGTGTGGGTTCCCCCCAACAAAGAAGATCCTGCCCTGCCTTCAAGGAGAATACCTTCTACAGGCATGCATGTGCATATATGCAAATGACTACAAAGCCATGGTACAATTGTCAGGAGGAGAGACCTGGTGGGCTCTGTGCAGCAGGTCATGTCTCCCACAGTTCAGGGACATAAGAATCCTCTAACTCCAGCTATACAAAATAGACCAAAAAGATATTATTATTCCCACAGTACAGGTGAGGAAACCATGGATCCCAATATTGAGGTGACATCACTTCCAATAATACTTGTGCAGAGAAACAAGCCTTAAGATTAGTTTTCATTATACTTTCAGCCTAAATAAAAATGTTACATTAGTCATCTTCAGCTATTAAATATAAATGAAATAGAAATATGTATTGAATGTCCCAGCCCATTTCTCTAGGTCCCCAGTTACATATTTGGGGAAGATATGAAAAAAAAAAAAAAAACCAGGAAAAAGAAGTGTAGTCTTTACCTCTAGTAGTCTCCAGTGGAGCTGGGAAGTCAACTCAGCTGTCTGGTGGTGTGGGTTCAAAGAGGGAATTTGAAATCACTAAGCCAAGGAACTTTGTGTTTGAGACAGTGCTGACTACCCAAGCACCTCAATATGAGGCCCCTCCCCTCTGGGCATTCCTTTCCCCATCAGGAGAAGGAGGGGCTTAGAGTTCAATGGGGCCCTTTGTGATGTCACACAGGCCATAGGGACTGAAACTCAGAACTCTTGGACAGCGCTTCTTTCTGGCACTGAACCCAGCCCAGCCCAGCTGAAGCTCCCACTCCATGCCTCTCCAAGTTCCCTGCGCATCTTACCCAGCCCCTCAGCAGCTCATAGGCTGTGACGCCCAGGGACCACCAGTCAACGGGGTATGAGTACCCAGGGCCTCCATCCATGTAAACCTGGAAGACTTCTGGAGCTGCCAAGACAAGAGAGAAAATATCATTGCCCATTACAGGTCGTGGCCACCACCCTCAGGGAAGGATGCAGTGAGCTGGATATAGCCTTTCTGAACAGTGCAGCCTGTGGTCCCTCCACCATGCCCCATGACTCCTGCCCACAGTGAGCCATGAGCAGTCTTGGGAACAAGTGGCAGACATCACAGAAACACCTTTTGAAATCTGGGTGGAACACAAACATGGTGCACAGGTATGTATGGAAGAGTGTCTGCTCAGTGAGAGGCAGGTTCTTGGAGGAGATGGCTTTGATGAATCGTGGTGGGCTGGAGAGCAGGGTGAGGATAAAATCCACAGTGAAGAAGAGAGTGAGCCCCCAGGGTTGAGAACCTAGATAAAAACCATTCTGCCTCCAACACCAACACTGAGTTGAGCAGCCCAAATACCAGGAGGCTCTGTGCCTACCTCAGGAATGATTCTGTTTCAGAATAAATGGGACTGGAAGATTAAAGGGCCCACTTCTTCCCGGGGCATGGAGGCAGGAGTTAAGCATCATTAGAATACTGTTAAGTATCATTAAATGATAATGATAAGTCTTTATTTTAAGCACCCCTTTTCATGCTAATTTTCTTTTAAATAAGCTGAGATGTTGGTGGGCAGAGAGAATTGACTTCCTAATTCACAGCTGTTGGATCTTTGTCTGGTGCCCTGGTTGCCTTGAAGGAAGGATTTTCAGCCATGAAGCCAGCTGGACAGGCCTCATGCCAGCACCTGCCACTTTGAACAATTCATTTTTACCTTGAGAAGCTGCTGAAGCACAACTGTAGCTCCAGGGGACAATGGGACCCTTCAAAGCAGAAAGGTCCTGCAACCCCGGGGAGTCATTCAATGTCCCAATTGGGAGGAACTCAAAGACACTAGAGGCTGGGAGCCAAGAGGCCCTTCACAAGGCCTTAAAAGTGGTCCTTAGAGCAGCAGGAGGGAAGGGTCAGTTTTGGCTAGTATAGGGACAGCTGCTTGGTCTTGAATGCCTGGTAAAGAAGTATAATCAAAAGTTAGGATTTGTTAAGACTGTGAGAAACCATCCAGGACGTTTGCATGTGAGGGACAGCCGGGAAAAACAGTGGAAGGGAGTGGGAAGTGTGGAGGTTAAGGAAAAGTCTCAGGTCAATTTGAAAACTTAAGTAAATTGAGCTAAAAATCATGGACTGATAGGAGCCCACAGTAAAACAAAAGACAAAAACAAAAAGACAGTGATGAAGAAAAGGCTAGTCAAGTAATGTGATAAAAAGACTAAGTATATTTAAGAGGACCAAGTTCTAGTCTGGCTAGCAGCTAGCAGTATTGGCCTAAAGTGTCCTAGGTGATGGAGACACCTGAGAGCAAAGGCACAACCATGACAATAAATCAGTAACCACTTCCTAGACCTCAGATTTGGTCTCAAAAGCATCCCAGGTGGGAGGCCCAGACAGGTGGAGCCTATGACTTAGATCATAAGCATGTTTAGGAAAAACGTGGAAGCTTTTCCTTGAAAACATTTGAAATTCCAGGGAGATAAATTCCGAAGAGGACAAAGGTATCAAGGTCCTAGCCTGGCCTGTATATTAACAGACACGGGAAGAAGGAAGACAACAGAATGGGTGCAAAGAGGCAAAGAACCGCCATCTTGAAAAGAGGGATAAGGATGAAGATAGAGAAAAGAAGACCTCTTCCTGCCACACAAGTATGCAGGGTGGCTAGGGCTCTTCCAGTTCAGTGCTTACAGTGATTCTGGGTGTGGGCTTTGGCGATGTGTACCCATGTAGCCACCCAGAAGAAAGGAGGATATTAACAATGAATGCTCCACCCTCCCATGAAGTATAAAGAGTTATTACTGCTTTTTCAAAAAACAGTGATGCTCCCTAGGAGGTGGCTGTCATCCATTGTAAAGGTCACCAAAGTAATAGCTCCCTTAAAAGTCAGGGAAGTAACTGAACAGATAGAACTGCTAGAAGAGCAGCCTCAACCAGAAGGGCCAAAAAACTATTGACTGTGTGCCTCCCCAACTTGCCCCAATGGACTGAAAAACACGGTGGTTAATATCTCAAAAATTATGGGCAATTTTGTTATTTCTTTCTGAGATGTGTCATCAAGAACAGTATTGTCAGAACGTCACCATCGATTGTGACATATAGTGGCTGGTTTATTTCCACTTCAGTCAAGCTGAAATTGAAAGGAAGATTGTTCACTGGAAGTGGCATTTTTCAAAGTGGTACAAGGAGGTCTTCATGTTGGGGTCACTTGAGGAAACTGACACAATAGGCCATCCCAGAATGTCCGGTGCTAACTTGTTAGAGACTTAAATGCCACCAAACAGATAAGGTCCTTGTAGAAGAGTACAATGACACCCTCCAATGGGAAACGTCCACACGGCCACGTCAGAGTGTACAACACTGAGAACCAGCTCTTCGCATGTAGTCCAGACAGTTCTTGGAGACATGGGATTGGAAGTACACCAATCCACAGAGCCTCACACTGGGGGCTGTAAGCACGTTTGTGATGACAGATCACCAACATAACCAGAGGCCAGACCCAAATACCACGAAGCTGCCCTGCTCAGTGGATCTTGGCTCCTATCCTATTCTGCCCATCTAGTAATGGCTATTATCCTTCTGATCTTTTTAACTCTGCATATCTAACCTCCCCAAAAGTTTGCATCTTTCAGGCTTTAGCAACTTCACGTCAACTTTATGGTAAAGCATGGTTTCCAGCTCTTAGACCTGGGGAAGAGTTGGGTCCTGAAAGAAATTAGGAGCCAGATAAGACTTTCCTGCCTCCAGGGGACCCTAGGGATACCACCCCTGTTCAGTTTAAAGAAGTTAAAGAATAAAGAGACCTTCACCCTCGAGTCTCTAAGATTAAGGAGGACGAAGTATCTGAAGGGGGCAATGAAACAGATGAAAGTGTCTCCCTGGGCACTGGGAGTTAAGCACAGTTAGAGCACTGTTAAATATTGTTAAAACACTGTTCACTGTAAGTTTTTAATGTGCGCACTTCTTTTAATGTTATTTTTCTTTTAGGAAAGCTAAGGTGTTGTGGTCCCTGGTGCTCAGGCTGCCTTGAGCAAAGGACCATCAACCAAGTTGTTGGCTGAACCAAACTCATGCCAGCATTGGCTGCTGTGGGCATATCCCCAGATGCCTTGAGGAAGCTGCATGGCAAACACAGCTGCTTGCTGCTGAAGCAGAACTCCAGTCCTGAAATATCCATGACTGCGTCAAATGCACCGTTTTTTGTTTGCTTGTTTTGTTTGCCATTTCCAGTGCTGGTGAACTCTAGATGACCCTGTAGCCGTTTCCACCCAGGCCAGAGAGGGAGCACTTCCCCTGGTGGCTCCGCAGAAGGCATGCAACTGGTGCAAACAGTCTGCCATTTGCAGGAGAGACTGCTATGACTGATACAAACACAGTTCTTCACTTGCATGAGACTGCCGGGATTGGTGCAGACATCTTGCCACTCCCACTCTCGGGCTCTATAACTAGGCTGCTCGGCTCACTTTGTGAGCCAACTTGTAGACACCTCCTGTGCTGCACCCTGACCTCTCCAGTGGTCTTTTCTTGCCTACTTTTGACCATTATCATTAGTAGAACAGGTTGAGCTGGAAACATGAAGAGAGGACAGCAGAAGTGGCAGCAGAATGGTAGCAGTGGTGAAGCAACAGTGAATGCAACAGCAGCTGCCATCTCAGGGGTGGCAGTGGTGACAAGAGGACAGCTGAAGAGTTACCAAGAGTGGCTGGGGCAGAAATGAAAGGGAGCATAGGTGAGGGAGACAATGAGGACTGTGAAGACAAGAGCTGAAGACAAAAACTGTGGACCCTGGTCACTGGAAGCATTCCAGGGAGCTGCCAAGACTTAAGGGCTAAGGGTCTCAGACACCCATGCCCTAGAGCTATAACACTGTCTGGTGCCAAAGGCTGAGGTTGCCAGCGCCCCAGGCTGGAGAGTTGTAACCCTTACTGCTGTAAGGTGCGGTCCCAGCACAGGAGGCCTGCATGAAAGCTGTACCACTGGAGTGAGCTTTTCTCTTTCGCTCCTGTTACTACTGAATCTAACTGGGCTTAACTGGGGGTGACTGGAGATGCAGAAAAGACACACGATAGACAGACAGACAGAAAGTGGGATCAGGTGTGTTTGTTGTTCAGGTGGAGACACACAACCTTCATTGCTTCTTTTCTCTATTATTCTCTTCATTTTACTCTGCTGCTTTTCTCTATCTTTATTCTTAAAGGCCTTGTGCCTTTACAATTCTTTAAAATCTTGCTTCTAAAGTTTTTCCTTAAAACCTTGCTTTTAAAGTCTTCTTTTCTGTTCTTTAAAGTCTCTTTCCTTAGACTCGCTCTCTCCCATGTTTTCTCTTCGCTTTTCTTTAGCATAACCTCTCTTAAAATCTTTGCCCTCAGACTTTGCACTGTCCATGTTCTCTCTTTAGCTTTCTTAAAGCCTCAGTCCTCAGACTTGCAAACAACAACAGCTGGCCTAAAAACTGCATATGCATAACTCTTAAAGTCTCAGTGCTTGGACTTGCACTGCACCATGTTCTTTTTAGCTTTTCTTTAGCTTAGCTTTTCTAAAGCCTATGTATAAAGTCTCAGTGCAGAATTGCACTATCCCATGTTCTCTCTTTAGCTTTCTTCAAGTCTTGGCCCTCAGGCTGGCTAGAAATTCCCCTTTAGCAATGCTCCTTCAGCAATTCTTTTCACTTCAGCCATTCATTTTCCCTGCTCAGCAATCCCTTTCCCTTCCAAAACCTCCCACATCAAAAAGCAAAAAGCAAAAAACCCAAAGCAAAAAGCCTTGTGTTGTCCTTCAGCAGGTCTTTTATAGCCAATGGTAATTGGTGGAGCAGTGGTTCTCGGGGAGGGTCGTGACATTGTAACAGGAGAAACCTGTGTTCCTGTTTCGCTGAATGTAAACAACTTAGGAGAAGCAGCTGTTTTGCATTATCCTTTTCTGTGGCCAGGGCTGTGCCAATCCCAGCCTAA